ATGTCGCCGAGGCTTCTTCTCCCCGCGCGGATGAGAAGTTGCTGACGACGCCGAGGCCTCAGATAAGGAGGAGGCGATATCTCATCTGCGGCGTCCAACGAGGGAGGGCGATGACGGATCGGGATCGTCAAGGGAGAGCGACATCGGATCTCCAGGTTCTCCCTGTTCTTCTTCCTTCTCCCTCGGCTAATACCATCTCGTAGTGGGTGGCGACAGTCGAAATCAACCATCACCGACCGATTTGGCATGGTAACAGGGCGGAAATAGCCTCAATTGATGGCAAAGCCCGGTAACGGGTGGTCCGTGTACCGCTCTGCTGGCGAACTGGTACGTAATGTCCGATACGGACGGTATCATTCGAAATTAAAAACCTTGGGGTAGATAAACTTCAGCACAAAGGCACAAATTACTCTAGGGTCACTGAGAATGTAGAATGAATTGAGTCAAGGTGCAAGTATAGTTATGAAGTGCACCACTTTAGTTGGTAATACTAAGATTTTAAAAACCAATACAAACAACCCTACTGGAATGTTCTGAAATCAGTGTGTATCAACCTGTACAGTAAAATACACAAACAAGAAAAAAAATTATAAATGCTGAGCAAATATCAAGCACACTATGTAGTCAGTACACCAGTATACCAATATAGTGTTGGTACACCATGGTATTTAAAAGTTAAAACCATGTGTGGTGTACCACATTGGTTCATGGTATGTGGGTTATGATTAGCTGGTTCACTATTTTGGATTGTGATGTATAGTAAATTACTCACTTATGTTGCTTACTATATTAGATAAGTTATTTAGGTCACAAAGCAATTATGTCTAAATATGTTAGATGTTTAGTCATAATTAGATAAGTTATTTTAGGTTATTTATGTTGCAGGCTCAACAGTATTGTGGTTGCATCATCAGTCTTCTACTTGCATCATGTTAGATGTCCACATGACGAAAAAGTCAGGACAAACTGTTGCTTTAATGTGCAGCGTGGGTGAGGATAATAATTGAAAAAAGCATTACAATAGAACAAAGTTATACAAGAAAGACGCATGAGTAACATGATTTTGCAATCATCACATAGTTGAACTATAAAGCATAAGAAATCAGGATGTTCCATATCTTATGTTCCCGCAAGAAACGCTGCTATTATGTAGGCAAGATGGCAATGAAGAAAAAGATGTTCTGCAATTATGTACATGATTAATGAACAACGAGTATAAAATAATCAAAGCACTGCCCTCATAATGGCATCCCATAACTAAAAAAATGCTCAAAATATTAGGATAATAAAGCCTGGAGCTTACAAGAGATGCTCCCTAATGCTACCTAAAGGGTGTTCAGTCTTCTGAGTGAATCTTTCAGCCGATATGTACTGGTCCATGTTACAGTCTGAAGAAGACTGGCATCGGACAGCAGGGATAACTCGCCTTCTACATTCAGTCATCGCAGGACTGAACCTTTTTTGGACGATTGCCAGAAGAGAATCTTTTCTAGTGTTGCTCCCACTAGTTCTTGCATTATTTATCCTGAGAGTGTGAGTTTGGCTTAAACAAGTACCCATGAAGGGACACTTAATTTCTTTATTTGCTTTCCCATCATGGTAACAAGGTGCAAATGCTGGAACAAGTCCACGTTGTTGTATACTCTTCATTCTGCCAAATACCTAGATGTTTGCAAAAATCCAAGTGTCTGAGAAAATCAGGTCATCCACTATCCCTGTAGAGAGAAAAACAAAGTGCATTAGCTTCTGTCAGACTCCATGCCTAGATATCATCAGCCAACACATCTGAAGGACCTAATCTGTCTACAGGTGGCTTGCAATCCAAGAACAAACTTGGTCACTAATATTCAAACATAGTATCATAAAAGTCATATTGCCCGTCTGTCTTCATATGTTTCCTTCAATGCAACCTTTAAAAGCAAGTGGGTACCCATTCCTCAAACCTATGAAATCTGAATAACTTCTGAATTTGTCACATACCAAACTTTATCATCCTTGGTATACTAGAACGTTTCCTCAATTTCTCCATCTTCTTCTTCTCACACACCAAAATTCTAAAATAAGACCCTGTCTTGAAAGAAGGCCTACATCACTACGAGAATGCCATAAAGAAAGATAAAAAAACAAGTTGTCAAGAACTATAGAACCGAATCAAGATATCTGCAGACTCCTGAAAACTATAAAGAGAGCGACACAATCCAAGGTCAAACAATGAATAAAAACGAACGAACCTAAAATGCACAAGGATTTATAGAATTCAAACCCATTAGTTTCCAGGAACAATGAAACAAGTCCAGCCAACCAACAGAAACAGTAAGACAATGCCAAAATTGGAGCCCGAAACAACAGATCCTACAGAAAACCATGATTCTTGAAGCATCAAACGAGACCTTATCCTTGAATTATTCTCTTCTTGTTACAAACATCAAACAAGACCCTATCCTTCAAGCAAATATGACAACAATTCCTCAAGCATACTCTTCTCAAGAACGGCGGCACAAAAAAGAATCAAGACACTAGCAAATTCTCGTATAGGAACAAAGAAAACGACATGAACCGAGACTAAAACCTCATTCAACGAGGAAACCATCAACAAGACATGATGTGCATATGGATTACATAAGGCAAACTCACGACTCTGCAAGAACACAACAAATTCACCGCCAAGGAAACGAAAATAGAGAGGTATAGAGAGAGGGGGAGAGAGAGAGAGAGAGAGAGAGCAGCCTACACGTAATCATGGACATCATCAAGCGAAACCTTATATTGGGCGAGGTCATACCTCTCTTCTTACGAGAACGGCATAGAGAAAGATGGCAATTCCTGACATGCCAAGAATCACAGCTGAAAACAGAATCAATACAGTCCAGATTCCTTCTCTGCAAACGCAAAAGGAGACGAACAAAAAAGCAAAACCCCATTCAAAAAGAACACGGCACACAAACAGAATCAAGAATCTCAAACCCATCAGTCTCCAAGAACGCAAACGAGGGATTCCACGGCCAAGACCCAGCGCACAGGCTCAAGAAAGCAAGGATCGGAGCCTTACCCTAATATTCGGCCTGGTTCGCCACCTCTTCCCGCCGGAGAACAGAAGTGGAACACGAGGCAAGAAGCAGCGAAGACAACACAGCGGTGGCTTATTTCTTGGGAAAGGGAATGATAGTTATGGGATTTTTTTTGCGTTTTTACACATTAGTCCCTCGTATTAACTAATATATTTTATAATACGTCTCCGTTATGTAATCCTCTAACTAAATTTTCACCCAAACATAACCTCTGTGATGCCTTTGGTCGGCTTGCATTAAGTAAAAGATTTAAAATTAGTTTGCATTAAATAAGGAAAACTAATACATTCGAGACGATTACAACTTATGCATCACATGAATTCTACCCACGTCTCTTTCGAATTTAAGCAAGATCATCCAATTATTGATTAATCGATGATTCATTCAGTTCGATTTATTGATTAATCGATGTATAATTTTAAATATTTTTTAAAAAAAAATTAAATAAAATATTTTAATTCAATTAAATCAAATCATGATGGACGACGAAATTAAACTCATACCATATATAAAATTAGGCATTTATATCAGTTTGATTAATTTGTTTGAATCAGTTAAAGGCTTAGGACATGATATCTCTTAAACTAAATGTATTTCTAGTTGATTTGAATCGATTAATCAAATCAAATAAGGATACTCTAATCAGAATCGTTTATAATTTTTAAAATTAAATCATTAGTGAATTGATTTGATATAGATTCGATTCGATTTTTTAATTTATAATTTATCCCTCTAAATTTCTAAATTGTGGAGCCCTCTCAAAATGGCACTCCGATTTCTTAAGCAAAAAGAGCTACAATCTTTATGAATTGCCATAGGCAGATTTAGTTGTTACTCGTTGCACAAACTTTTGGTTCGTTCTATTTTCTACCCGATAGATGTGAGATGATATGATCATGGTTAATGGTTAACCGGGACTTAACACGTGGACTACGTGACCTTAATTTCGGATACGATAAAAAATCTATTAGAGTGTCATATTAGTATAATAGAGTCATATTATGATAGTCACATAAATAGTGATATAGAAAGTAATTTTCTCTTGTATGTTTGCTTTCAGTATTGACTAAGCGAACACTTTTAGGTCTTAAAAGATAATATTAGGGACATAAAATATAAATATTTTTTGTCTTCAAATTTTTCTTTTTCGCCTTCATTGTATAATGATATATCTCTTCCGAAAATGATAATATTTGAAAAATAGGTTACGTCAATTTTTAGAAAGCTGGATTGATAATCAAATTTCATCTTATCACATGTGTCGTAATATTTAAGAAAGACGTGAGTTCCGTCGGAACTCGATTCACTATTTATTTGGATACTCAAATTTGAATACAAATACGATTGTTACTTTCCATACGTTACAAACTATATCAAAAGATATCTTAACTAATTTAAATACTTTTTGATAAATGTGGACTCATTCATGTTGTCGTTTAATAATACAAATGAAAACGAGTTGGGTATCTATGAATTACCTCCACCCTAAATTTGATTAACTATATGGATAAGCATGCTATTTAAAAGTAAATTTTCTTTTATATGGATTCAAATTTAAGATATATCAAATATATGTTGACCTATAAACCATGCATGAACATATTAATCACTTGCATGTATCAATTGAATATATGTTTAGTGCACGAAGGATAGATGTACGGTGTTAAGTATTTCTTTCTTTTTTTGATCTGAGTCATATGTTTATTCGAAGTTAATGAAGGTTCTTCTTTCGATCTGTGTCTCGAAGTAATTTAAGTTGATATCATCTTTATCAAACTATGATTGCATCGAAATTCGTAGAACTATAATGTTAGTAAAAATTCAAATGATTCAACTTATTTGATGTGTTCTTTTATAGTAAATTATAAATATAATGACATCGCAATATATTTGATGTGTTCTTTTATAGTAAATTATAAATACTGTTACCTTCGCAATAGATATTGCTTATGGAGAACATAGTATATCTCTTGTAGACTTAGCTGCAATTGTGGTACATTGAATTGAGATATCAACTATGCGATGCTAAGATATGTCTATCCTTGTACCAGTTGGCATTTTTATTTTGGCATATTTCATTCTCGAACTCTGTTGGGCGTGTAATGTTAGATTATTTTAATACTCACACATGATTCTTCTTTTCTATCACTCATAATTTTAATATGAGTCCCTCAATAGAATTGTCGCGGTTGAGAAACGAACCCTCGATGGCTGGAGCGGCCGACGCTGACTGCTACATCAGGGCGATTGTACACCTCCAAATCAGGAGGACGAACACGAGCACGTAGATGTTTCCGCCCGATGCAACGAGTCCTTCTGCTTCCCAATCGGGGGCGGGCAAAAATAGCATTGCGGTGGCCGTTTCATGATCCGCGATCTGCAAGCTTGTCTCTCTTTGTCCGTCGTTAATTCTTCGATGCCTTCGTCAGCGACAGGGAGAAATCGTAGGTGATGATTCTTTTATTTGGTCCTGGGAGCTCGAACTCCCCCTGCAGAGAAAATGGTGCCGGGGAACACAAGCAGAACCCTCAGCTCATACAGGTAGCAGTTCTCTACGAACTGATACGAGCTAGCCTCGTAGGTATGTGCCTTATCTGTCTCTCCGCTTCGTGCACGTGATATTTGGTGCATTGAATTCTTTAATGGCATGGAGCAATGCCTCAGATGAAATGATACTAATTGTCAAACTAACCTTTTCAGGTGATCTTCTACCATAAATTTGAAGGAGTCAAATTTTCTACCATAAATTTGTACAATCTACATACAGAAGAAGTATATATTTCTAGCAGTATTTTCGTCAGGGAGATAATGCTTATTCAATGCATAAGAAGGAGAAAAGATAAACTAGGATAACATGATGGAAGTTCTGTGGTGAATATGGAGAAAAATGGGGAAAAAAAAAAACTAGGTATGTCATTCTTTAATTGTTAGATATATATCTCTGCCAACAATTAATTGCACTACTTAGTACTACAAAATCTGCTATGAATTTTTTCAATTGAGTTACTATATTTAACTTTGCTAAATAAGCTGAAATACTACCAGATACAGAATGGGAATTAAGGAATATCGTCTAGATAGTAACTCCAATATAGAGCAAAGCAACCTTACACCAATAACGAAACTATCTTTGGCTTTGCTTTGGGCACATTAGGAAGTTGTCAACGAGAGAATCATAAGGATATGGATCTGGGTCAGAATCAATTACTGGTTTTGAAGTGAGGTTGAGAGTATCCGTTTTCATTGATGAATTTATGTTTGAATGAGAATATCCACTTGCCTTTCCCAAGCTCCTATGTTGACTTATTCTATATTCTTCCTATCTACATTGGTGTAATTAGGGGTATGGTCTCTCGTAAGATCTCTGCTTACCGCTACGTGGGATAGAGGAGCTACTCTACTTTATTATGGGAGCTTAGCTTGGCCCTCTTTCTTTAGAAACTCACTCCTAAGTTAGGATACTCACTAGCATTGCAGACTGGCTATCCATGCAATACAGACAGCTATTCTAGACCGGAGGGATGAAATAGGTAATAGCACAGAAGAGCCGTAAGACTCTCTTCTTTCTTGAGTAAACCCTATCCTCAATGCCTCTTCCCTTCCGTTACTGCCTTTGCTATTTATTCATTACCCATTATTTATGAATTCCAAATCTTTGCTATTTATTCATTACCTATTATTTAGATACTCTGTTATATATTAAGTACTCTTTGATACTCTATTATATATTAAGTACTGTGTAGTGGGCAATAGCTCTCGGGAGCCTTATCCCCGGAATACATGACTAGCTTCTTGACTTCTCGTGGAGAAGATAAGATGATCGGCATCTTAGATAACAAAGGGTACCTAACACTCGATTCCTGACTCTAAAGAATAAGCCTTATCGTAAGCAACCATCAGATACCGAAGGGTACCTAACTCCCTTCCGGACTCTAAAGAATAAGCCCTATCGTAAGCAAGCCAAACCGATAGCTCCCTCAGCTCGGAAGTTCAGAAGATGGGAATAGATAGATGTTCTGCATGCTCTTGCTGTCGGCCTTGGCAATCTTCCTTTCCTCTCTGGATTCCGGCCTTTCCATCATTGAGATCGATTCAAATTGACTTGACTTGATTTGAAGCAATCAATAAAGGTATTTCAATCTCCATTACTTTGGAAAAGCAAATGAAAAAGAACTCCAAAAAGAATGAATTCCTCCAATCTTCCCTAAAAATTCACATGTAGACTCTACATGTGAATTTCACGCCTTCTAAGAAGTAACAAGTTCTTGTTCTAACGCCATGATATTGATAACACACATAGAGTTAATGGTATTGAATAACTAATAGTTTGAGCAGCGGCTTGTAGAGACCACCTTCCTTATAAAGAAATAAATAAAGAACATATCTCTCTTATCTTGAAATAAAGAACATATCTCTCTTATCTTATATATATATATATATATATATATATATATATATATATGTGTGTGTGTGTGTGTGTGTGTGTGTTTCTATCCATATCCTGACATAAGAAGCCCAATAGGAGCAAGCAATACTGGAAAGGGCGATCCATAAGGAAAGACGTATACGGAGATCGGTTGAAACGCCCAAAAGGCATTACAAAAAGCACTTAGTAGAATGGATGTGACCACTATAGACAATACCAAACAAATGAACATTTCTTCTAAACGGGAGAAGGTCCTCTTTCAAAGTGTCTTCCATCTGCTAGAGCTTGAAGAATTCCCAAGGTTGGGCCAATACGTTGTTGTATCGCAGCAGATATTTCTCTTTCTAACCATACAATGAAAAGTACTTCCTCCTATTGTCATTCCGCGGTACAAAGATCTATAGGAGTCCATATACTAATATCTAACTAAGGATTCCGACAACACAAAGAGGTCTTTTCAAGGACATCATTTCAGAGAATCGACTTTGCCTGTCTTTCTGGAGAATAGGCTCTCTCCTTCCTCTGAATAGGCTCTGTGGGTGGGGAGCTGGGGAAGGCGCAATAAGAGGTAAGCAGTCTACGAAGCAAAGCCCCTTGCATTATAGAAATAGTTATGAACTGACTGCATTCCCTTAGTCTCCCGCCAAGCTAGCTAATCTAATAGTTTCTAGTTCCATTCCATCTTCTGAACTTTAACCAACACTTAATTAAGAACGAAGGCCACCATCCTTCTGATTCTTGATTGATTTCTTTCTCGAGTGGATTTCGGGGTGCTAAGGCCCTGGAAAGGGGAGAGTAGCTGAGTGGTCAAAAGCAACAGCCTGTAAATCTGTTGAAGGTTTTCTACGTAGGTTCAAATCTTGCCTCTCCCACTTATTGTTGTTATAGACTTAAGAGAAGATCAAGTAGGCGTCGGCGTAGGCCGAGTGAAGCTCTTTCTCTTTCGTAAGAGAGACTGATGGCAATTGTATCGTATGCTAGTTAGAGAGGTTAGATATTCCCATTATCAGCTATATCCAATCCCAATGAGAATAGAAGTGCCGACGTAGGCTTTACGTCTGTCGGGCACCCGCCATAATGCCTCCTTGGTTCCGGACAAAGCCAAGCAAGACCCTTACCCCGCAGGAAGGTGCCTTACTTTTCAATTGCAAACTCCTCGAAGCTTCTTAGCCCTCGGAAGCAATGCTCTGTTTTTCATAGATTTTATACTCTATCTTAATGCTATATTCTTTAAGTAATGCAAGTATGATCGAGGATTGGAGAGGGATAGGTGGATGAAAAAGCTCAGGATGGAATGAAATTCAGAGTCTTTGTGCGAGCCGTATACGGTGAAAGTCGTACGTACGGTTACAAGGGGGGTTCGCGTCTATATGTGTAGTTTGGCCTACCCACCCTATTTGTTCCATGATCTGTGGGTCTATTGGAGTTACCCACTTCGATCAATTAGCCAAGATTTTCACCGGATACAAAATCACTAGTGCTCAATCTAGTGGTATTTTTCTGGGGATTCTCTTTATCGCTGTAGGATCCCTATTCAAGATCACTGCAGTTCCTCTCCGGGCGGTTGTAGGACGGACGACCCCCTATAGGTAGTAGGGTAGGATGGGTGTTACCGCTCATATTGTGGCTAATCCTCCTAATTGCACGCTAGAGCACGTGAAACTCATCACTACCTCGTAAGAGTGTTGAGACCATAGTATGTTACACAAAAGCTAGCTTTCTCCGTAGTGTTGTCATACAGCTGCCCGACTAGAAGAGCCACTCGCTCCGTAGTGTTGTCACACAAGATAAGCACGCCTTAGCCAGCTGGCCAAGCGAATCGAAGTTCTCTTCCGGTCAACTGTCCACCCAGTCAAGTGCAAAAAACACAGTGGAATCACGCAACGCACGTAGCTGGTGTGCTTCCTGCCCACGAGGAAAGAATCAGGCCTTATAGTTTTGCAGAAAACATAGTGGAATCGAGGTTCGCCACCAAAGTTTTGCATCCCCATTCAAATACATGGTTGCTATTGAAACTTTGGTATCTTTAGATTCGAGTCTTGTAGCTCGAAAGTATTGTTCCATGTCAAACAAGAAATTCTCGAGCTCCTTTGCGTCCCTAGCACCTCTATAGCAATAAGGCTCAAGTGCCCTCAAATTTTGTGGCGGCGCAACGCGGGTATTGCTCCCTCCCGCATTTAGTGCCCTTGTGAGCGCTATCATTCTGGAAGTGAGTTCCGCCACGACTTCGTGCAAATGTTGCACAGAGTCTTTGGTATCGTCTGTCAGTCGATCAACTAGGGCCTCGACCTTGTCGATTCGGGATTCAACTTCTTGCGAGCTCTCTGCCCCAAGAAGCCTTCATTGGCCTTGGTAGAGTTCCTCCAATTTCGCTTCAAGAACATCTAGGTGGGTTTCCGCCGCCGTGAGTCTCTCCTTATGGCTCTTTTTCCCGGTTGGTGCTCCAGATTGTGCCTCCTCCGCTTGCGGAGAGTAACCAACTTCTCGCTCATCATGTTCGCTACCACGATCCTCTAGAGTGGCTCCACCAGCATGAGTGCGAGTTTGCACTTGCAACCCACCTGCAGCTGCTTGGGGCAATGGTCCGGCTTGCCCCGCCTTGCTCGATTCGCCATGATGCTTTGCCATGGCGAGATTGCGAAGTTTCTTTGCTGCTTGCTTGAATTGCTTGCCCGCTCTGATATCACAATGTCACGGACTTAGCTGGAATTGCCTAAGTCGTGAGGCACCCTTGCGGCAAAGTCACGAACTTAGTTGAAGTTGCCTAAGTCGTGAAGCACCCTTGCGCCAACTCCTCGGACTTAGCTGGGATTGCCTAAGTCATGAGGCGCCCTTGCGACATATGCGTCCGCAATGGGTCAGCCTAGTTACAACCTTATACAAGTCCGAAAGGACTTGTAAAACTGAAAGTTGATTAGATTGAAAACCAACGATGGACAAGTCCCGACGTCTTGCGAAAAGGGAAGCTTTACAAACAATTCAGCAAGCACCTTGAGTGCAAGAGAGAAAAGAGAGGAAGGAGAAAACAAGGATTTTAGAAGGTAGAACGAATAGTTGCAAGTCCACAAACAACTACTCATCGGGTGTCGGGTGCGAAGGCAAGTTCCCGTTAAGTTAACGTGCCAACTCATGAAGATTGTTCAACGCTCGACAATATACCGAAGCCCCATCCAGCCCTATGCCACTTGAGGGGTTCTAGGGTGCTGAGATGACTGACGTTTTGTGTGCAGTTGTGGTTTGCAAAAAACAAGCCATGGCACGCGAAAACGGGCCATTTTGGTGCAGTTTGGCCCGGCGTAGCGAGCGATCGCACTGTAGCACTGTGAACTGTCGTTGTTTACATTTTCCAAGCAAAAACACACAAAACCAAGGCAAAACATGCTGCCATATCTCTATACAAGCATGCAAAAGCGACGAACGGTTCGTTGAACGAAGTTGTTGCGGGTGTGCGACGACCGTTCATGACAATAGGGTACAAGGTTTCGTCGGATCTTTATGAACTGAGGATGTGAAGTAGATGGACTTTGCTTTGATTAGCCGCTTGAACAGTCTGGCATTTCAGTGCTGCCCTCTAGCATTTGCAATCTATTTTGGAACTCACTACCCTATAGTCATTATCATCTTTGCAGGATTTGTACTTGACAGAAGCATGACATGCCTCATTTCCATCCCGGTGCTTCCTACCATATGCCACTTCAACATCTTCCTTGGTGCATTGGAGAAAAATGATCACCTGCTAATCTTCAGTCTCCCTTTCTGCATTGTCAGGAAAGATGACACCAGATGAAGCAGATACAGTTGTGATTGGTGTCAGTTGCCCAGAAAATCTACCCACCATTGGCAGATCACAATCCTTATCGACACATTTGCCTTCCGTCTACCTCAGTGATCTCAAGCATTACTTCACATCCTTGTCTGCCTTCATAACAAAGTGAATGTGAGCATTCACTTCTTTTACAACTGCAGAATCATCTCATCTTGGATGTGCTTTTTGACTATGGCCAAGCTGTCATTCAATTTACCACATAAATGCAGCATCTATTCATCTTCCAGACATTTCTTTTGAAGGGTAAAGTGAAGGCTTGGTTGCATGGCGACAGAAGAAGCTCCTCATTGATTCATCTGCAGCTGCAATCTCTCTCATCTTGTTGAACACATGGTATGCAATTTCAAATGGTACCGCCCGGTATGGGCGGTACGTACCGGTCCGATGACATACCGGTACGCGGACCGCCCGCTACCGGACGGACCATGCTACTAATCTACCAGCCATTACCACTGCATGTAAAAGTGAAGGCTTGGTTGCATGGCGACTGAACAAGCCCCTCATTGATTCTTGTGCAGCTGCAATCTCTCTCAACCACTTGAATATATTGAAACGCATATCAGCATAACAACTGAAGAAGAGGAAAGGAAATGTGTGTGGGGTTTCATTCTTTTGCTCCCCTGCTTATAAGCCAACAAGATCGGCATCTTTAGGTTGGTCAGATGGGAAACGACAAGAATAGCAGTATTTATTTTCTTTACTCTCCCACTCTTTCGTGAGTTGCTAGGTGCTGCTATCCTATGTGATGTCAAGGTGGTTCTTGGCTTGCAATGTAATTCTTTTACTGACATCTTCCAAACAGGTCAGCAATCATTTCTGTTTCTGTAATTCTTAAAGAAATGGATGCCTGGCACTTTGTTCATCACCCAACATGTCATGTCCCATCAATTAGCAGCAAGATGCAAGACCAGAGACTAACAACTATTACATGGTTCAACGCAGTCAGAAAGACACAAAGAATCTGATCAAGACATATTTTACGGCTTTAGAATATATTAACTCCTCAACTAAAGTATTTGTTTATGATGCACAGGTGCAGTATGGCTGCTTGTCTGCCCAACAATCTACCACTCTCTATGGTGGTTTGCTGGATCTGCACATATATGTTTTAGGTGAAGTAGGAGTGTGCACATGTTGATAATGGCCCTTGAGTACATATGGTCAGCAACGCACATCTTGGAGTGATCTCAATGGCAAGATGTTCTGCAGAACAGAAAGATTCCAAAGTATTATATAGTTGGGGTTCCTTCAAGAAACACAAAGAAGTTGTGTATATGGTAAAGCTGTGGCCAACCTGGTATGTCTCTGTCTTAGCTCTACTAACCTAAGATTCACCATGATGCGCAGGTCCTGCATGTGGTTGTCACTCTAATATCATATTTGTCACATTTTAAATCTAAATACCATTTGATCAAACCTCCACAAATATGTTTCTTAGAATTTAATATTTGGGAGAGCATAATGTGTCATGTCCTCTTTTTATTAAGCTTATTTATGTCCTTGAGAGAGCTTATTCGTGAGCTTACATTGTGGCTGCTCACAAGTCTAAAAGAATTGAGGTTAGCCATATTCCAACATGGCTCTTTAAAAATTGAATTATGTAAGAAAGATCATGTTTAACACCCAAAAAAAGTATGATCTCTGGTCAGCCATAAAGAACCAAAATATTGAGCTCAGGTTGTAGAAGTATTTTTTGCAAGTTATTAGAAGCATTTTTCTGAAATTCTTACATTTATGCTTATTAAATATGGTTTGAAACAGACACATATTTTTAGAAGCAACATTGAAAAAAATAGGGAAAAGAAATTATTGTCAATCACTATTACGGGAAACGGGAAACAGT